TAGGGGCAGGTGAGACCTCCCATAGCTGGGGGGGGCGGTGCAGGGGCTGTTCATACGCCCCCGCAGCTCCGGGGAGGGCCTGGTCCCAGCTCCCTCTCTCCAGCTCTGGGATCTGGGGCTGTTGTCCCTCCCTTCCAGAGCTCCTGGGACTGAGCTCCGTCCTCCTCCCTGCCCTGGGGGGGGGGCTGAGGAGGGGGGGGCAGCCTTCCCCCTCCAGCGCAGGGCTCAGCGAGGGGCTGGCAGGGGTCCCCCCAGTTCTTCAGCTGCACCATCTCTTGCAAATAAGGTGGTGCCTTGTTTTGGGGCCCCGGTTCCTGGGGGGAGTTTCTCGCTCCTCCAGTTTTTGAGGAGTGGCCGTGTGAATAAGAAGCTGGTCGGGCTTTGGGCTGTCTAGTTCCTCTCTGGTTTCTCTAGGTACCGGTGTCCCGAGGATGGTGTTTGAGAACGGGGCGTGTGGGTCTCTTATCACACCCCAGCGTCCTGGGAAGAACAGTGCTGCGGCTGCCAAATGGTTTAGGGTTTTGGGAGGAGGGAATCTCGCTATTACGCTGGTTTGGTGGGGGAAGAGAATATGGGAGGTGTGAAGAGGATCCTGTCGCAGCCTCAGTAACGCAGCCTGTGTGTTTTCGGAAGGAAAAGGGTGTCCTGTAACAGCTGTCTGCCTGTTCGGGGATGGTTGGGAGGAATCGGGAAGCTCTCTAGGAGGGCCGGTGTGGCTCCAGATGCAGGAGAAGACTTGCGGAGAGGTGGGCACCGTCCTGACGCGGCGTCCAGGTCCGCCCTGACTTTCCACAGGGAAGAAACTGGGAATAGCAAAGACTAACGGCAGGTTCTTGCTGTCACTTCTCGAGGTGCCCAGTGAGGTTCGGGGGATGCTGGCCTGCTTTGGGACTGCGGGCAGCGAGGTGGCCCTGGGCTGGGGGTGTTTTCTGAAGTCCGGAGGAGGAGGCCAAGGGCGCGGACCTTCTGCAGGGAAGTCGAGCGTTTCAGCGAGGCTATTTGTTGTGGATCTTGGCCGCTTCCTTAAGAGCCTCCTGGTTTTGGGTTTGTGAGAGGGAGTCTGGGTTGGTAGTCAGAACATGTTGTTTTCTTTCAAACCCGGTTTCTTTTCTCTCTTCTCCTCCCGTTTCTCAGTCTTGGTCCCTGTAAAGTCCCTTAATTCCTCGCTGCTGGTGTCTGCCTGTGACGGGGTAACGGGCAGCCCTTGGGGGCTGTGATTATCTTCCCACAACTAGTTTAATTCAAAGAGACTTCCCTTGAAGGTGAGCAGGGGAGGTTTGATAGCCTCCATACTTGGGTTTTAAGCAGTGCGTTGGGAATTGAGCCTTGTTTGTGGAAGCAGCTGCCTCAAAGGATGTATTTTTAGTGTGTCTGAGGAGGGAAAAAAAAATGCGTCACCCCACATGTGGCTGTGCTGGCATTAGCAGAGGCGGGAGGACTGGCGGAGGTGCTTCCCAAAGACTTTATTCCCCTGAGTTTTCCTCGTCAGGGCCTGAGGAGCAGCGAGCTCTGCCAGCGCTTTTACCCCTGGCGTTAATCCTGCAGCCTGGTCTGTGCGAGGGGGCCCCGATTCCCCGTAGGGACCACTCTAAACCCGTGGGACCACGCAGAAGTGCAGGGCTCTGGCTGCTGGAGAGGTGGTGCCGGTGTGGAGGTAGCTCAGGATCCCCTGTGATGGCCAGGAGTACCTACAGCGCCCAAAGTGCTCATCATCTCGCAGGAGTCACGTTTGTCTCTCGTTTTCTGGGTTTATTCCACCCCGATTAGGTTCTCCTGAGTCTAATCCCTCCTTCTGCTAATGTGCGGTTGCCCCCTGCAAGATATTTTCTAGGGCTTTAATTTATTTGTGCCATCAAGTACCTAAGCACACATCTGGGTACTATAAAAATAATAACGAACTAATAGCAAGCGAGCGCAGTTATGGTGCAGGGCCGTCGTAGTGTGTGACGGGAGCGAGGGAACTCGGTGTTCCCTTCCTTTTGGCATCCTACGTGGCAGATTTTCTATTTATACCGCTAGAATAAACGGGGTGTCCTGGCTGAGTTTAGAACCTTTACGTTATAAAACCTAATGCGATGAAATAGCACAAAACCCGCCGGGATGGGGATAACTGGTAACTGCTCGTGGCGCTGTGGAAACGATCCCAGGCGAGGGGAGCGTCGTTAGGCTGAACGCTTGGGGAGATCCTGGTCATTCTTCCATGAAATGTCTGCCCGGAACCACCAAGCCCTTGTCCGTGTACACCAGTGTGGATCCGGGTCGTACTGGTAAATCTGGGAACAGAAACCTCCCCGCGTTGACATTGAGGCTGCTCTATGCTGATCGTGGCTCCAAAAACGCCTGCCCGTGTTTAAAAACTTAATTTTTCAGGCCGGCCAAACTGTCGGGATTTCTGGATCTCGTCCACCACTTGTTTGTTTTGGTATTTCCAGAAGTTAGCAGATGGTAGAGACTTAATTCTGTTAAACGTATGGGAATTTAATCCCCAACCAGCCTCCGGTCAGGATGCGTCGTCTCTGCGTGGCAGCTGTGCTCTGCGCCGGGATGGGAGCTCGGGACCGGGCTGCCGGGCTCCCCTCCGTGGATTTGCACCCGATTGCGGGGATGGGGGGGACGGGGAAGAACTGAGTTTCCCGCTCCGATCCCTGATCAAGCATCTTTTTTTGCTTGAATTCAATGAAATCTGTGAGCTAGCTATTCGTATCCCGGCAGGGGGAATCTGTGTGTTTGCTGCGTGTTGGTGAGAGACTGTCTCCTCCCCCCTCCCTTCGCAGCTGATTTTAGGTTCGCCTCTCGCTTTTAAAGACTCACTTGCTGTTGCAAAACCTATTGAAAGATAAAAACGATGTTTCAGTGGTGATACCTGCCGGTTCTGGGTCTGATGCCAGCCCTTTCTTTTTATTTCACCATAAACGTTATTCTCTCCTGTTTTTCTTTCCCCCTGGTGTGTCGGAGGGAGATTTGGGGTGGTTTTCTTCTTGCCACGCGTGATCCAAACAGCGGGGAGGGATCCCCAAGAAGACACGTTAGATGGACGGAGCAAGCATGCGGAACAAAGGGAACACATTTTTTAATTACTTTAATTACAGCAATCATAAATCTGTCTTATTAAAAAAAAAAGAGGGTTCAAACTCTTTGCGACCAGCATCTTCAGACTGAAAGCAGCAAGAAGGTTCTTTCCTTCCCCGCGCGTCAGCCCGGGGCCGTCCCGCTCAGCTCTGCGGCGGTGAGGAGCTCCAACCTCTGCCCAGAGCGTTTGGAGACGATGCTTGAAACGATGGGGCAGCCCGGGCTGACGGATGCCGCTCCCTTGTCCGGGAGGGTTGACGTGCTGTGGAGAATTAATGGTTTGGGGTTTTTTTCTGGGGATGTCTGTACAGAACTAAAACCAAGAGCTACCTATGCCCATCCTCCAGCAAATAATTCAGCCTCCGTACTTCAAGCCTCCTTGAAATCGGAGGCAGTGGGCAGGCTGCAGCCGGGGATGCTGCGTGGCTGGAAATCCTCTCTTTGAGCTGCGAGGGGGAGGTTTTTTTGATGAGGAGAAAATACATTTTCTTCCTTATTAAATTTTCAAGCGGGGACGATTGGGGTGCGTGAAATAGGAGGCAGTGTTTAAAAAGGAGAGGAAAATACCGCTGCTGGGCACAGATCTTTGTCCCTCGGCCTCCCCCGGCAGAACGGGGCTGGGTCGCGTCGGATGCTCTGGGAACACAGGCGCCTTGTTCGTGGCCGTAGAGCTTTAGCTGGCGAGCCCTTTTGCACAGATGCAGCTTATATCATTTATAGAAACAGATATATACTGCCTGAACGAAATAAGTCGTGCTAACGCAAAACCTCCCGTTTTGTTGTTTTTTTTTTTTTGCAGTTGCTGGCCTTGTTTGTTTGGTCTGGAGTAGGATTTTGCTGCTCTTTGCTCCCCCTCCCACGGTTTTTGTCCCACGCCGAGCGAGTTCTGCCAGCAAAACCTCTAGGTGTGCCTGGGCTGGGCGCGGGCACAAGGACGGCCTCAGCTCCAGGTTTGGAGGCTGGGATTTGCCGCGGCGTTTGCATCATCGCAGCTAGTTCTGTTGGGGGATAATTCCTCCTCGTTGATACGGTCGGGGGCATCCGAGCGAGGCATGTTTGCGTTGCCGTGCTGGCAGATGGGGCCGGAGTGCTTTGCCGCACCGGCTTGGCCGCTCGGTGCGACTCCCGTGCAAATGCCGGGCCTTGTGCCGCCACCAGCTCTCTGCCCGCTCGCTCTCCCGTAGGAAATGGAGCCAGGAAGGGGTTTTCAAGCGGCGCTCCTCCTCCTTGAGCTGAACCGAAACGGCGCTGGCTGGACCTTGGTTTTGGGGTTTTTCTGCAAAGGGGAACGGCTGCGGGCGGGACCTGCAGTAGTCGCGGCGGTCCTTATTGCAGATCAAGGATGCGAAGGGCCTGCCTGTTCCCCTCGGGAAGGGATCCTGCTGTTGCCGTGCTCCTGGCCGGCAGGGACGGCTTTGCCACGCTGTGCGGGGGAAACTGCAGGCGATGGGATTGCCGTGGCCGTTCAGAAAACCACTGCCAGCGCCTTGCGTTTCTCCTCCACTCTTGCTTGACCTGCGGAAACGTCCAGCTCACTCGACTCCGCCGCTCCGGTGCAGGGTCCGGTGGTTGGGCGTATGGGGAGGAAGGGAGAGCGGGCCCTGGTGAAGCTGCTGCGGCGGGGAGATGTATAGAATCATAGAATC